AATGACTGTAATCGATAAACAGCACTACTGAGCAGTGGTGTGAGTAGCCAGACATATGAGCGATAAACACATTCAATGCACTGTCAATGCTAGCGCATAACACCACGAAAATATTGCGAATACAATAATATCTTGCGTTTGCATTGGGTTTGCATTGAGTTTGCATTGGGTTTGTATCACAAAAACGTTTACAACATATTTAATATCGCCATTCATTTCATATTGCATTGCATTTTGTATCGAGATTTTTGTAATGCATTGAAAAGCCATTGAATGGGACCTCAAATGCAATACATATTCGACAATATTTACCACAAAAACAACAAAAAATCTTTATTTAAATTTAAATAAACAGTGAATACAACCTCTAATCACAACTAAATAGCAAATAAAGCGACAAATATTAGTACACTTAATAATATTTCAGTTAATATAATAGCCGTAACGATAACCCAATGTATAGTTTTATAATAAATTATAATAAAAAAAATTGTTTATCAAAAATGTGAAAGCATTGAAGGCATCGATGGGTTCACAAACTTATCGCCAATGAATGCATTCATCAATGAATCGCTATTTAATAATATAGTCTAATATAATGTCTAATATAATGGACTTTCATTACCTTTGAAACAAAAAATTGCAAATTAATGAATGAACGAAATTAACAAAACATTTGACACAAAAACATTGTTTTCATTTCAGTTCTCAATTCAAACGTTAATTTCTTATTTACAGACACTTTGAGAGCCATTACTGTGAATGAGTGACGAAACCATTCACCACAACGTCATGTGTTCAGCACTCCATCACTCCATCCCTTACATCACTATTAGGGCAGAGCAGGGGGTCTACAGCCCTATACACCCCCACCCCTTACACCCCAACCCAAACCACATAATCATTTCATACAATTATAACATGTAATTATCGTTTAATCGCTTGTTTTAATTATGAGCTTTTTTATATGTTATGTAATATAACTTATATTTGTTATATTATTTAGTAAATAGTTTTCATTTTAATTAACTGTTAAATTATAAGTTTTTTTAAACACATTTGACTTAAATTGTAATTTATAAAAGCTGTGCATTAAAAATAATATGACGTTAGAACTAAATTGAGTTCACCATGATCATGATCGTATCACATATAGTCACTGTTTTCTAGTCTATTGTACTGTATTGAGTCATTCATACAGAATATTCTTTAGCCTTACGTTATTAATACATGTGATATATTTTTACTATACATTGAATTTCTATGCATACAATTCAAGTGCGTTTATATTTCATTGATTTCAATGGGAGTGCAATAAAAAGCAGAGTTCATAAGTAATAAAGTTCATAAAAACAAGTATTTTTAGCATAAATTGTTTAATTAAGAACTATGTTCATAAAAACTAGAATGTTGTGACCAAGTTGTCAGAACAAGGACATTATTAATACACGTATTAATAGCATTCGTTTCAACTTATGTTTACGTGCTTTTAGTAAATTAATTATAATTTATAACATTTATTATTATTTTAATGCTAGCTAATTATTACATAATCAGTACATTATTAAAAATCAAAATAGATTTTTAAAAATCTATGTAAAAGTAACTTAAAAGTGACCAAAAGCTAAGAACGCATTAAACGTCACGTTATATATGAATGGTCTGTAGTTTTACTGCCCTTTTATTTGACAACAATTTTGTGAACAAATGTTTTAAATCTGAACTCAATTTCAATCCATTTGTTGTGATTATCTGTGAATCCATTGAAACCAACCAAAGATGACAGAGATATTCAGCCCATTGATGGTACGCCTCTTGTCCTCATGTGTTGTCACTGTTGGGATCAATTGAAAACGCCATTTGTTTGTTGCAGGAAATGGACACATCCAACGACTCCTTCGAGGACCTCTTCGGTGACGATCCCGACAAATGTCTTCAGACAGTTATGTATGTCTTACTGACCGCACGTGTCATACAATCAGTTGATTAACTCATTTGAACCACTAATTGACAGATACATCAAGAACTTAGTGGTCGGCAGTAATCGTCTAAAAGGAGCGGTGATTGAGTCGGCAGTCGTGCCACGGCTTATACAACTGATCCAATCGTATAACCACTCGAACCATCTGT